TGACTGAGCTCTCTTACCCGGTGATTGTGTCACCTAAGCGAGGGTTGGTTTCACAGGGTGTTAGTCTGCAATGCAATGCTTCGTGGTGCAACGCTAAGCCTGCACTATGACTTTAGCTACGCTCAACAACACATGTCAAAACCAAGGACAGGATGGCCAAGAAAAAAACACAGAAACTTGGCCTGCTCCCCTCTGTCTCTGAGACAAACTCTCTCCACTTTTGCCACCAGCTCATTTCGCAAAAAACAACAACAACAATCCACTTTGGTATTAAAATGTCTCCTTTTTTCTCATTCCTGCCCTCAAGCAATAACAGCAGCTCCTCCTTATAAAGCAAGAAGTCACTCAGTATATTTCAGGCTAGTGGACACGGCTTTCGAAAACCTGCTGTAAAGGGAAATTATACGCCAAGGTGAAGTATTTCTGCCGCAAATCATCTGGAGACATCGTCAACCCTGTTTGATTGAGTTCAGTGCCATAATCATAAATACTCTTGCTTTATGACCATACTGGAGTTCTTCACCAGGAGCAAACAAGGGCTTTCCCAAGGCTCCCAAATGAGTGGATTCAGCTTTATTATGGGCAGAGTTGATTCACCAGGTACCTGACAAGTGACAGGTAAGAAAGTCGTGGCTCCTTGTTGACAGCGGGGGTTGTGGCTTTTTTGTCCCTTCTCCACCTCTGGTTTAATTTTGCCAGGAGGTGGGAGGACAGCTGCCCTGTCCCAGCCTGGGGCTGGCTGATCACAGATATCCATCATGCACATCAAAGGCTCTCCTGGACGGCAGATCACAGGCTATACAGATAGAAAGAGCATTTTGCCTTGTGGACAGTGTGGGTCATGGCCGAAGCCTTTCTGCTGTTCCACCAGACCAGTCTCAAATTCATCCTGCACTCTGCATTTATCAGTAACTCATACTACAAGGGTGAGAGGAGCAAAACAACCCAGGATCCACTCAGAGCACATGACGAAGACCTGAAAGAAGGGCGGGTAAGCCCATGGGAATCCAGAAACTCGTGAGAGGTGATAAGAAAATGATGGAGTCAGAAGTACACAAAGGCACAGCCTCTATTCAAAGTGCTCCAGGCTGGTCCAGGGTGATGGGTACCAGCCCAATCGCTCCAGTTCCAGCCCAGGCCATCTGGAGAGTGGGAAACCACTTCCCACATGATGGAAAGATACTGTACAGGTAAAGAGAGAAAAACAATCACCTGGAGGTGGGTGTACCAGCAAGAGAAGGTGAAGACCATAGTAAGGAGGAGGGGAGCAGGCTTGGCATGCCAGCAGTCATGATTACAGAGGGAAGGAGTTTCTGGCACCGGTCCATATGACAGAGTAGCACCAATATTTGTTTGCTTGGCAAGGATTCTCTTGGTGCAATCAGACCATATGATTGAGACCAGATCCTGGAAGCCGGCCATGCTAATCTGCTCAGCAGACTCATGGAAGGACTGCAAATGGGATGGTCCAACCATCCCACGCTGGTAGTACCGTTTCCCATCACCACCTCCTCGAGACTTTCTGATTTAGCAGGTACTTATGCCTAAATGGTAGCAAACACATCCCCCTCCTCATCCTCTAGAGATCCAAGTGCCGGTAGAGGAAAGGATCGTGAGGAGCATTGCAGATGGAGATGAAAGGCCAGTAAACACATTCACTCAAGGTGACTCAACTGACTCAAGGCCCACTCAAGTACGTTTTGAGTACTACTGAAGATGGCACTGGGAAGTCTGGGAATGGACCTCAGTCCTCTCAACCTGGTGAATCAAGTTATGTCATCGGGAACTGGGTGGAGGTCTGGACAGGCAATGAGGAGCCATGCTTGGCTTCAAGATACCGAATGGTTTCTATTGTTCAAAAAACCCACTCAATGAGTAGGCATGGGTACAGGACAGAACAGGAAAGAATTAAAGTTGAAAATGAAAAATAGTGGAAATTTTAGTGAGAGATGAGTCAGTGAGAAGATGGCTTCTTAAGAGAAGCGTGGGAGATGTACGCAGCATTTGTTCAAAGTGCCATTTGACAAAACCTTTCTAGCCACAGAGCAAATGAAAACCCACGTTTGTCAGAATGGACTTGCGATGCCATCTTTCCCCAGCCCCAGTGTCTTTGAAAGCCACCAACACACAGACGGCAATGAGAAGGACCCTGAAGCTACAGGGGCAGGCAGAACATTATCTCTGAAAGTTTGGGGGTATACAAGGTATTATCCTTGCAGACATAGTCCAGTCGTTTCAGTGCTGAGAAGTGTTTCTTATGGGCAGCAAACGGCAAAACCAGCTCCTGAGCTGAGCAGCTGACTGCCAAGTGTTGTCTCCTGTGAGAGAAGTTTGTGCCCAGAGATGGTTTTGCTGCAGAAGCCAACGGGCTGCGGCCCTCATTAGCAGTGACCAACGTAACAAACACATGTTGCATGATGCTATCACTGCCTTGTAGATCGTCTTCTAAGATCAGGTTTGTGACTCTCCCTGCTGCCACACAAGTGGCACAGAGCAGCTTTGCAAGATCAGAGGGGGAGTAGTTGAAGCTTAGCAGGAAATCCTTTGTTGAAGGGGACAGAAGAGAGAAAAAGCAGTCTCCACCGACAGAGAAAGCGCCCCAGACTGGGGCTGTCTCAACACCTCTCAGAAACAAAACTAGTGAGAGGTGATAAAGCAGTGATGGAAAAGGTGTGCTAAAATGGGCAGATATGGAGAGGACAATAAGTCTACCGCCTCCTCCCCCGTTCTGCAGATCAAGACCCTGGCAGAGATAAAGACCAGGGGCTGTGCCATCCCCATTCCCTTCCCTAAGGAACGGGGATGACACAGAGATTCACGTGATCTCCTTGCTGATGGCAGCAAGTGTCAGAAATACCAGTGATGTGAAAGAGGTTGAGGGAGGAGAAGATGCACTGATGTCTGTAGGCATCTCACTTTGGGCAGGGGGCTGGAGGAAAGAGGAGTTGGGAACTGGGAAGGTGAGTCCTGTGCTTGGTACGTGAGACACACCAGAGGAGTCTGCCAGAGGAGATGAATGGTGGTGGCACAGCAGGAAGCTGAGACAAAGCATCTCAGGTGGGTTGGGTTTAGCTGGGATAGACTTAATTTTCCTCACAGTAGCTAGTATGAGGCTATGTTTTGGATTTGTGCTGAGAAGAACACTGATTACACACTACTGGTTTTAGTTGTTGCCAAGCAATGTTTATATCAAGTCAAGGACTTTACTTCTGATACTGCACCCGTGTTCCCAGCTTCTTCTCTACAAGGAGGTGGGAGAGGACACAGGCAGGACAGCTGACCCAAACTGACCAAAGGGACGTTTCATGCCCTCAAACATCAAGCTTGGTATATAAGTTGAGAGAGTTGGCCAGGAGGGAAATCGCTGCTTGGGGTTGGACTAAGAGTCAGTCACCTGGTGGTGAGCAGTTGTATCATTTTGATTTCTTTTTTTTTTTTAATTACATACCATTATCATTAGTAGTAGCAGTAGTATTTTCATTACATAGTATTCATATTCATATTAGTAGTATCATTATTTTATTTCATCTACTTTCAATTATTAAACTGTTCTTATCTCAACCCACGAGTTCTCTCACCTTTTTCCTCTGATTCTCTCCCCCATCCCACGGGGGGAGGGGGAGAGGGGGGAGAGCAGCTGTGTGGTATTTGGTGGCTGACTGGGGCTAAATCAAGACAGCAGGGAATATCACCTGAGCAAGAGGTTGAACTTCCTTCCAGTTCCTGAAGTGGAGGGCACAGGGACCTGTGGCCAGCAGGACTGGCCAAACTCTGCCGAGGCTCCAGGGGAAGGAACAGGGCCTGTCTGGTCAGGACAGGCTACCAGAGGGGCTGAACCCAGGGCTGCCTGCCTGCACCACTTCACACTGAGCAGAGGGTGTTAAGCTCCCCAGGTCCTCGCCAAGTTTTCCAGCAGGTTTACAGCAAATGCGGGATCCTGATAGATAAAAAACTGGCACCCTCCCTGCTCGTGAATATTTATGGCCTGTCCCAATGCCACAGCCGTTCAGGGTGTCTGCTCCAGGACCTCTCAACCAGCACATAAGGAAGGGGTAGGAGGGAAAAGGGGATGCCACAGGTGTTCGAAGTCACTACACCTGTGTCGCTTGGTCCAACAAACTGGTGTGCCTGAGGAACGGGCTGGGGGCAGGCTGGGGAATGTGTTAGAGGCACCAGACCCAGCAGGCAGAACAGGGAGCAGTGGGGATTTCATCCTCAGAATGCGACACACATTGCTGGAGACTTCAGCAGCCGCCTGTGTGCCCGGTGGTTTAGCAGATATCAGATCTCTTAATGGGTACTGGTCCCTTGGGCCAGACGAACAACGAGCCATCTCAGGTCATTTACCAGACAGGCCACAATGCTTTCAGACCGTTCCTGACCAGGAAGTAATTAACTGGTTTCCTATCTGTATTCTCCTGAGCTCCACTTGTCTGCGAGTGCTCATTAGTTACAATTCAAGCCAGACAGTGTTTGCAGCACAACAGCCAGCTCTGTATTAAGCCCCAAGGTCCAGTTCAGCTCAGCAACTGGCAATGAGGCATTCCTCACCCTCGTCTGGAGGCAGTTGGATGCACTGGCCATTAGGCACCAAACCCACGCAGCCACAGAGGTGTTCAAAGCACGGCTGAAATCCACATAGCCCTAAATCCTCCCCAAACCCCAGCAGCCTGGGGTATCTGCTTAGAGCAACCTCCTTCTCACTGGGAGGAGATGCATGCCCAGTGTTCCCCATCCCTCCCAGTCCTGTGGCACTGGGAGCTTGCAGTGACTTTTATGCACTCCCTGTAGTATATGGGAGGGAGAGGGGAGGTCACTGGGGGTCTGGCAGAGCACAGGGGAGAGGAACTATCTGTGGAGGGCAAGGTGAGGGTCTCCTGTGGATGAGCAGAAGAGAGAGTGGGAATGTAGGCAGAGAAGGCTCCCTGGACTGCTGGCCAAAAGGCGACGTCAGCCCTGAGCAGCCCACGGCCACGACGCGTGCCCTGTGCCCCTCCTACCTCGGGCAGCTTGACTCGTCCCTCCTGGAAGGAGCAGGAGCTGGGGTCGTGAGTGCAGACGTGGCGGTACTTGCACCAGTGACACCGGTAAGGGCTCTCCACGCATGACAGACACCTGGAGATGGAGAGAAAGAGTAGTAACTTGGCCAGCCGGGCCCCATCAGCCAAGAGGACAGACCTTGACGTGGGTAGCGATTCTCAGAGGGGACTACAGCCCAGCAAACATTGCTTTTGCCATCACTAGCAGAAGGCCATGGGCTTGGCACTGACCCAACACCGTCAGGTCTCAGGATGATGCTGGACATCTCACACCTTGAGCTGGTTGTCACGGTGATCATGTGTCTCATATTAATTAGATAATTCATACTGCATTCATATCGTTGTGACTAGAGTAATAACAATTGTTGCATTTTGGTTGCCCTGTTACAAATTTAATCAGACTATCAAGAAGTTCCTGGCTTCATACATAAGAGGCGTTTCCCCTTTTTACTCATAACAAAATCCTGAGCGTAACAAAAAGATCAGGGGATGGGTGGAAACTGCTACAGCCTCGCTGCCTCCGTGCTGAACTGCACCAGTGCCCCAGGAGCTCTGAACACATCCTGGGAAGGTGGCCAAGGGAGCAGCTCACACCAGCAGTCCCAGTAAGAAAATCCCACCACTCACACGTGCTGCAGAGCCTGAACACAAACTGGGATGCACCAAGGAGAGAAAGTCAAGGATGAAACAGGGAATTTTCTCCCCGTGTCCCACATGCTTATTAGTGTGAGATCTGCCCAGGGTGACGTGACTCCTGCAAACTCTTAATTCTGTTCTTCTTTTCTTTGACTCAGAAGAGAAGGGAAGACTATTGTAGCAGCTGCCTGGGAAGTAGAGCACATATTTAGGAAGTCACCTACTCAGGGTGTAGGAAAGAGCCATTCCTTCCATCTTCCAAGGTTTTGCCCTCCTGTGCCACACAGACCCCGGAAAGCAAGAGCTGCAAACACCTCTCCTGGCTGTGTTACAGCACTGACTTGCATTTACATCACACTGGGTTTTGATTTTTTTTAATTTAATATGATGTCTGCTCACCAGCAACCAAACTGAGCCATAACAAGCTCTCTGCACAAAACAAGCAGCAACTCCTGGTAGCTCACACTGCTGGAGATCTTTGTGCAGCTGCAGGATCTGATGTACCTGGAGGAGATTTGGGGGGGGGCAAATTCTCCTGGCCCTTATATGTTGCCAGGTTTTTTTAATGGGCACGAGTGAAAAAATTGCCTCCAGTCGAGCTTGGCTGAGCCCGACAGGCAGACATACACTCTCTCCCTTGCCTCTCTGAAATCTCACTCAACTCCAATCCACTTTCAGCTCTGGTACAGTGAGCTGTTCTTCAAATTGGTAACAAGTGCTTGCTCTGATACATCAAATTAAAAATGGATAGTGTATTATAGTTTGTCAAATAAGAAACCAAAACATGCCATAAATATTTAACACCACCATCTCTCCTGCTCTCCCCCCCAACACTTGCTGTTCTGACACTGTTTGTCAAAGCAGCAGGAACATGGAAATAGGATTTGCCTTTCCTTGTGAATTGCTGAGCCACAGTAATTATCTGCTTTTGGCACTTCTGATGGCTCAGTGGTGGGGACAGAGCCATTCAGCCTTGCTCAGGGGTGGATCAAACTGCTGGAAGAGTGTCTTTCTGCAGGAAAGCTGCAGACCTGCTCCAGTGGGGCAGCTCCTGAGCAGCCCTGGGTGCCAGCTAAACCCCAGAAGAATGGGGTGCAGGGCAGGAAAGGAGCTGGCAGGATGGAAAAGACGGTCTTGAGGGAATCAGCTGTGTGTTCCCTGCTCAGTTCACATCATGCAGGAGCCAGCAACTCCTGACTTTTCAGATCGGAGGGCCCAAACCATGCTAAGCACCTAGGGCAAGCTCCTCCTGGTGGGACTGACAGCATGGAATGGTGTTGGAGGTGCGAATGTGCAGGCAGGATCCATCCATCCACAAACAACTGCTTCATAGGAAGACAAGGGGTCTATTTGCTTAGGCCATGACTCGCTTTTGACTCCCTTCCCTGGCAACCTCCCACTTGCGTGACGTTCCTCCAGCTGAGAGACACATGGGGATGTACCACTCCCCAAGGCAATGCCTTCCTGCAAAGGACACTCATCAGCAGAACAAATGGTCACTATACTACTCTTGGTCGTTCCAGAAGAGACCCCACCATGCTGACCATCATCCAAGTCACCCTGTGTCACCCTGACCCCTGGTCACCTCCACACCTCACCAGCTTCCCGAGGGACATCTGCCCCAGCCATCAGTGGGTTCTGTGGCAGAGCCAGGGGTGGAAGGGAAAGCAGGTATCAAAAGAAATAAACATACGAGTTGTGGACACTGCAGTTGTAGAAGACGAAGCTGGTGCTGGCAAAGGTCATACCCGTTTCTTTGGACTTGAGCTGAAGCTGGACAATGTGATGGTCTCCTGGGGAAAAAACAGACACATCAGTATATGACCCCTCTGTTAGCCTAGTAAAGCCCTGTTGGCCATGCTGCCAGTCTGAACCTGGAGCTGTCCCACAGCACCTTGGCCAGTCCATCCTCAATAGCTGTAGGAAGTGCAATAAAATCCTTCCAGAGCCTGGTTCTCTAACAGGTACATCCCTACTCTTACAATACTGGCGTTACGGAGCATGTCTTCACCACTGGAAATTATCGTAGACGGGAGTAGAGTCTGGGCTGGAAGATGATGACGACAGGTCTAGACCATACCTCACTAATTTGAAAAATATGGTTAGTGAAGTCATCATAGGAAAGCTAAGCTCAAAGACAGGATGCAGATGTCTGGAATTAGAAGGCTGTTAAAATGGAGAACTGTCTTTAAAGTTGGTCCTTGCTGCTGGTTCATTTGATGTCCCCAGATGGAAGGGGCCTGTGGAAGATTTGACTGCTAGTCCCAAACATGGGTGGCCTGTGCATACACTGCCTGAAGGATAAACTTACCTGCTTTCCTGAGGGAAAAAAAAAAGATCTAATTTCTCCTTCATCTCTGACTAGGGCCCAGTATCCAGGGCAGCCATGGCTGAAGAAGACCACCTCCAGATTCTGCCCCCAAAGAGAGGTTATACCTTGGTAAAATAGGATAGAGGAATGAGCAAGGATAGATGCCATAACAGTGAGGACAGGGTGGGGGTTCCCTATCTGCACCCTGGGAAATACTGATGAGCAGGGAGATTCCACGTGAACAGTTCCTCCAAGTTCACTCACCCCATTCACCTCAAGGTCCGTTCACTTGGCTGAAAAGAACCCAGCTCAGTGTGAGGGACATCCACAGGCCATTGCACTCCACAGACCCATCCATTTCCACAGCAGGCCTACCTGCAGCAAAGCCTCCACCTCCGCTCCTACACATCTCCCCATTCCCTTTCCCACTGCTCCCATGCTGGGCAGTCAACTGTCATCCCTTCCCACAGTGCCAAAAGCCCCTTTTAGAGCCCATCATCTGTGGGTAACGAGCGGGTGCAGTAATTGCAGTAATTTGATGGGGAAGGGATCCATGTTTAATTCAAGATTCCAACCTGGCTGGTCCTTTCACCTCTATTATTTTCCTCCTCACCTGAAAGATTCATTAATCAATCAGGCCAAAGCAAACCTGACAATTGTTCGCAGCGTGCTCCCACGTGCACACTCACCAGCACGCACATGGGCGCACGCACACCCCGCACACTTCACTAAACACATTCTGCTGCCAGTGCTCGACTCCGCTGCCCATCTGCTGCCACCGGCTTTGACATCTCTTGCTGTGGCCAAGAAGGCCAATGGCATCTTGGCTTGTATCAAAAACAGCGTGGCCAGCAGGTCCAGGGATGTGATTCTCCCCCTGTACTCGGCACTGGTGAGGCCGCACCTCGAGTACTGTGTTCAGTTTTGGGCCCCTCACTACAAGAAAGACATTGAGGTCCTTGAGCGTGTCCAGAGAAGGGCCACAAAACTGGTGAAGGGTCTGGAGAATATGTCTTATGAGGAGCGACTGAGGGCACTGGGCTTGCTTAGCCTTGAGAAGAGGAGGCTGAGAGGAGACCTGATCACTGCCTACAACTCCCTGAAAGGAGGTTGTGGAGAAGTGGGTGTTGGTCTCTTCTCCCTAATGACAGAGGATCGGACGAGGGGGAATGGACTCAAGCTGCGCCAGGGGAGGTTTAGATTGGATGTAAGGAAGAAGTTCTTCACCGAAAGGGTTATCACACACTGGAACAGGCTGCCCAGGGAGGTGGTGGAGTCACCATCCCTGGATGTGTTTAAGAGACGGGTGGATGAGGTGCTGAGAGATATGGTTTAGTGGTGGACAGATACAGTTGGACTGGATGATCTCTAAGGTCTTTTCCAACCCAGTGATTCTATGATTCTATGATCTCTCTTAACCGCTTCATGTTTAAAAACTTTGCCAGCCTCTTGCCTGTCTTTTAAAAGAGGATGTGAGGATCGGATGGCCCCAGGGATCCGACGTGCTACAGAGCCGCACGGCCTTTGGTTCAAATCCAGCTTCTGGCTCTACGCATGGAGGACTTGGTCTTTGCATAGGTGTGGAGCACCAGCTGCTGAAGCTGATACAAGCCGCAGGTGCCCGGCCTCTCTGAAAAGCACGCTTCACATAAATCTCTCTCTTGTCCTGCCTCCAGCTTCCACTGCTATTTTTGTCTGCTGGTTGATTATAGCCTGGCCTGGGACAGATGTCCATAGCAAGGAAATAGTTCCTGGCATCTACCTTGGTAGGCAAACATGACTGATAACTCAGAGGGACCTGAAAATGGTAACAGTGCCGCGGGGACTTGTTTTGGGACCGCGATGGAGAGCACATGCAGCTGTGTGCAGCTTGGGGAGAGCAGAGATGATGGTGACAGTTTGTGTCACTTCATTTCCTGGTGTCTGAGGATCTTCAGAGACAAACTTTACAGTAAATTTTCACAAGAAACCGAGGCCAAAAATGACAGCATCCTCTCTGCATCTCTTGGGGTGATCAGCAGGGTCAAGGTTTTTATTTTTAAGTCCCTGCAAGGAGCCACAAGTGCTCTTGAAAGTACCTAGAAAAGTTGTTAGAAAAGGGAAACAGAAAAGGGCAGGAAGTTGGTGGGGGAGAACACACCATCCTTGGAGACAAGGTATTTTTCTGTTCTGGACAACTTTGGGGAGGGAGATAGTAGTAAGCCTGGAACAGCTGAAGGCAGTATAGGCCAGGGACAGAGACAAGGAACTGAGTATACAGATCTACCTCTGGGAGGAGCAGGATAAAATTACAGACAGGATCATTCAGGTCTGCAGGGCTTTATGGCTGTTGCACGGGAAGGGATGTCTTGAGAGTACATACAGCCTCATTCCCTGTGCTGTGTAACAGAAGTTGGCAAAATTGAGCGGATATCTCACATCCACCTCTTGTCCTTGCCAGATATATGTAACTGCCACTCGGTGGCAGTCTGAAAACACAGAGTATCACACAGATAAGCACCTTAACGCAGGTACTGGTATTGCAGCTCAATGCTTGCACACGGGTGCACACATCAACACACACACATTCACACAACCCATGCAACCATGTGCTGCTGGGCAGCTCCACCAGCAAACACCAGCACAGCCTCCCACCGACTCCCTGTGTGCTTTGCATACCCTGTCCTCAGGCTACCATGAGCCAAACTCTGCTTTGGGAGAAAGCAGGAGAGACACAGGGGTGTGGGGTGAGGGAGGGAAGAAGAAGTGATGCAGAGGGGATACCCACCGTTCTCTGTGATGATCTGGGGCACCTCTTTGGCAGCTGGAGAGATGCATTGGATCTGGCTGCCCACCACCAAGCCATCCATCTCCGAAAGGTCCTCGAAGGTGCAATTGACTCCCGCTGACAGCTCAGGGACATTGTAGGTCTCCAAGACCAGCTGCAAGCAAAGACGGAGGGAGGGAAGAAGAGATAGAAAAAACAGAAAAGAGAATGCTAAGCCAAACAACAGGGTTGGGTCAGCAGAAGAGAATTACACTGGAGAGGTTGGACAAAGAGCCTCTTGCTAGAGAGAGCATCCTCCTTCAACAGAAAGCAGCATTTCAGGAGAGGGATGTGTGTGCGGAGGGGGAAGGGGATGAGATGCTGATGCCAACACAAGTGGTACGTGGCTATGCAGGGAGGACTGCACTGCATCCCAGTGCTGGCTGGGTCAGTGGAGGGGAGGGAGTGCTCACTATCTGTCATGCAAGTGTAAGGTTAGGCAGGGAGTCTTTGGAGCCAGCCGTGAAGACCAGGGCTTTGGTGGCCCAAGGCACGCGGTTTCTGAGGAAGGTGACTACTACTCACAAGAGGCACTCTGCAGACTACAGAGAAACTGTAGCGCTCCAGTCTAACTCTCTACGGCCTGCTCTCCTAGCATCAGCAGATGGGGGAGCGCTCTGTCACCAAGTTCCTGTGTAAGGAGAGTCTAGTTACAGCCTTCAGTCCACCACAAAAAACACGCTGTCCCTAGAGGCACAGCGTACCTCTCCTGCCCATCCCACCAAAGACGCAGCCAGCCCTGGCGACATGCTGTACTGGGGCTCCATACATGTAAAAAGCTGTGAAGGAGGAATTGCCCACGTTTTTAGTGTTCACAGCACCTGCTGGCATTGTTATGTCATTGCTCATGGTCATGAAAACAGGAATCACATGGCTGGTTTCCACCACGTTCATTCCCTGGAGAAGGACCCTCATGCTGCTAACTTCCCGGACCAACTGGGGTTCTGCACCACGGCTCTCTGTCACCGAGAGTCCCACCCAACCCACCAGATCATGTCTGAACACAGGCATCCCAGGGTACTTCTAGCCCCTACTGATGACCTAGTAGTTAGTATAAATTCTGTGGTTTTGTGACCGAACACTAGAGCCAACCACTTGACACAGGCACAAATGCTCTCCACACCTGCCCCCTCCATGAGCTCGCTGAGGCCCCATCTGAGGTGACAGCCACTGAAAGGAGACACAAATGCATGCTGAAGTGTTGTTTCTACCAGCGTAAAGAACAGAGTTCAGTCCAGCTGACAAAGCAGGAGAGGACGATAACATAACATAATGCTTACAGCTCTCCCTCACTGTGTTTTCCTCACTTAGAGAAGGCTCGGAGCTATTTCTTCACACTAGGCACCAGCAGGGAGAAAGGCTGAGCAGACAGGCCTTACCCTGGCTGACATAAAGGCTTTGTGAGAGTATGTTCATTTCTGGGCAGTGGGAATGGCAATGAGAAAGGCAATTATTTTGTGTTGGATGGGGAGAAGGAAAAAGCTTTGGTTAGTTGGATGGATTTAGCACTCAAGCTGAATTCACTCTCCCTGCTCATTAATACGCTGCTAGCGATGGAGAAGGCTAAACTATTCTCCTTAACAAGTATTTCTCTCTGAGCATGGGCAATGCAAAATGAAGGTGTGCCATGCAGAACAGGACACCAGTGGATAGACCAGCAGTGCTTGACAACAAACACCATGAGCCAGTGCACCCTCTGAACAGACAAGAAGTCCTACATCCCACACGCCCGCTCTGGAACTGCTGTGATGAGGGAAGAACGGAGACTTCCCCCAGCAAGGATCTCTTCTCAGAGATCCCAGAGCAGCAGCCTCGGACCAAAGCAGACTCGATTTTCCAAATCCCCAGACTGAAAGAGTCTCAGATACAACTTGCCAACTCCCTGTTAGTGACCAAAGTCTAACAGATTGTCCGTTCACTCGGATACCTTCTCTACCTCTGTGGGCAAGGACTCAATAGCACTGATGCTCTGCTAGAACCCAAGTGAGCCTCAGTAAGGACACCACCAGCTGTTCACTCGTCAGTGCTCCCCTCATGATTTGCCAAGAGACTATCTGTGGTGACTGTGGACAAGCTGGGACACCAGTCTATCTGGGACTGGGCTGAATATTTCCCATGGAAATGTTCATGCAGATTATTGGGCAACAGTCAGACAATGGCAACTTCTGATCCCAGCAGCTCTGGGTTTATTTGCCCTGCCACAGTAACCTAGAGGTAAAGGTCTTTTATTCTGTTATCAATTTCAATCGCCCTGAGCCAGCTAGTCCCTCAGGATTTATTCCAACATGAAAGAATCCTACAACTACTGAGAGAATAAGAAAAAGAAACCTTGAACTCCCAGAAGAACAAAGGACTTAGGATGTCTCAGATCAGTTTTTTTGAAGCCTAGGAAAGTAAAGTCACAGCAAAGTTAAGAGCCTGAAACAAAGCAGCAATGATTGGACATGCAGCCTTTGAAAGGCTGATTTCATTATCACTGAAGAAACCTTAGCACTCCGAAACCTGTCACCTGGAAGATGCCTGGCAGCTGCACCTTGAGCAACACCTTTTAGACCTTTCAGGCTGTGGAGATGGTGAACAGCTCATCCAGAGACGGAGGTTTTGGGGCCTGGGTGATCAACTCAATTCCAGCGCTGACTAGTCTGGCCAAAGGACAGTAGCCTGAATGAAATAGATCTCTGCTTCCTTCTCAGAGGTGTTGGGATCTCACCACACAGGGTTCTGCTGTCATGAGTCAGGAGAGGAACCATGAACTGCTTAGATCTTCAACTGAGATTTCTTGCCTCAAGCCCAGAAAATGATGAAGAGTATCTGCTGCTCCACCAGCATTCACTGGGTGGCTTTGTGGGCTGCTGACTCGAGTAGCTCAAGGCCATAAAGGCTGAACTTTGTGTTGAGGAAGGTCCCAAGAGAGCATGAACCTTGGCAGCCTTAGCTTCCTCTGCACAGCATCCTGCCTCTCGGTTCTGCCTACTCAGTGCTGGACCTGCAGCAGGGTGGGGTTCTTGGTGGCTGAAGAAAGACACTCTTCCACCCAAGATGATAGAAAATTGGAGCTTATTGAAATAACACATGGTATCCCTCACTTGTCATTATCCTAGAAGGTAATTTCATTATTTCATGATTATGTCCCTTGCCTAAAGTCTCTCCCAAGTAAATAAACATCTAGACTGTACGCACACAACACTTGCAGGGCACAAAGTCCCTTCAGACATGCCCTCAGCTCCTCACAGTGAACAGGGAAGCCTCTTCCACACTTCTAGACAGGGAATAACCAAGGCTAAAATGTCCTCCCATGGCAAATCTATCTCTGTGCCATAAAAGTTGCTGGGGAAATTAAGGGACTCTGGAGAACCTCTTTCATGAAGCTGCCAGTCCTTCGTGCTCATACCCGGGACTGTCAGACTGCATGGGCAGATTAAACCCACGGGGGACAAGGAATAACGTTCCTCACCAATACGTTGTACTGGGAGACGGAGATGTTGTTGGGATGCACGGTAAGCCGGACGCACTGCTTCATCTCCGAGGCAAATCTCCGAGGCTCGCTGGAGCGCTCACACCGCTCCTTCCTGGTGCACCTGAGCGAAAGGGGACAGAGAGGGACAGAGTTAACACAAAGCCAGGTGAGGAGTGTGAGGACAACCCCGGGGTATGGGAGGAGCAATCATTTTGGGTAGAAAGTCAACACTGTACCCTTTGGGACTGTAATAGCTGGAAAACCACAGTCATGCCCCGTAGCACTGTGACTCACAGAATTCACAGATTCACAGAGCGATAGGAGTTGGAAGGGACCTCTAGAGATCACCTAGTCCAACACCCCTGCCAGAGCAGGATCACCCAGAGTAGATCACACAGGAACAAGTCCAGACGGACTCCAGTGCTAACAGCTGTGGGATTGCTCAGCAGGCTGGAGACTTGTGAGGACACCATGAAAGGAGGAAGGGTGATGGGTGAAAGCCCGCTCCCTTGAGTAGAAGGCACAGCTCTAGAGACACTCAGTCTCTCTACCCACATAGCAGGTACCACATAACCTTCCCCTGGCAGCCCTGAAAACTGTCCTGTCCAAGTGCAGTGGGACACGTTACACAGGGATGTCCTTCAGAGTGGCTGAGCTGTGCCCATGCTCTTTGGCCCTGCTGATGAGACTGCAGATCTGTGGTACTTCTGAGCATCTGATTCCTCTCTGCTGGGAAGGGCCAGCCCTTCAATCCATTGCCCAGTAGCTGCTAAGTAGTCCCAGGCAGTTTGAGGGGTTTTTGGCATCAGGTTTGAAAGTATCTCGCTAGAGTTGCCCCGGGTCTGAATCTTTAAAATTCTGGTGCTTCCAATTAGTGAGAGTTCAGTGACTTCTGTGGGTGCACGGTAGCTGGGCTGCACAAGCCCACAAAGCTTACACCCCACACTAACTGCTGTCAGTGCTTTCAGCACTGTCACTGTCTCCTCCGTCCAGTGTAAGCACAAACCAGCAAGGTGAACTGGTAGCAGTGCGCCCTGTTTCAATCCAGCCTTGCATTTGCTTAGTATAAAACGCATCTGTATTTTACTCTACATCCGCTGCCAAGGCCATCGCTCCAAGGAAGATGTCTGCCTAGAAATCCACGGGGTTAATACAAAAGGACAGTTCCAACTGCATGCCAATTACCTTTTGCCATTAAGCTAATGTTATGGACTTGCACAGGGTGTCTTCAATGGATTTTGTTATTAGCAGTGCTATTACCCCCATTAAAATCAGCTATAAAGACCAAGTGCGGATGTTAAATTATTCACCCACGCCCAGACTTCGGAGTCGTAGCCGTGAGAGCAGGCAGGGGCTGCTGGAGGGTTAGCTCCAAGATCACCCCTCCATGTCCTTGCTCCCCCAAGCAGAGGTGGCACCTATAGGCACAGGAACATGAAGAATGAGAACTAAGGTAACACATGCAAAAGCAAACCCAATATATGGCTGAGCCTGGATATTAATAAGCTTGGGGGGCTGGCCTAAAACTTCAGGGCTTGGCTCTTCTCTAGTGGCTTACACTAGATAAATGAAAACCCCGATTTCAAACTCAAATTTCTCCATCTTTGTGTTAAAGTTTTGTATTTCCAGTGGCTCAAATGGTAAAGGGAGATCTCTCCCAAACTCTGCAGGCTCTCGCTTCACTGTGCAGATTTGAGAGAGCAAGTGCAGCATTGCAGCTCCCACTCTCTGTTCCCCAGAAGCCTTCATCCCATTAAGTCTCCATGCAGTGCCGCATACTGGATCAGGCATTTGAAATGTGCGTTCTCCAGAGGGTTGGTCGGATGGCCGATTAACTTCTCCCAAAACCGTAAGTCCCCTACCATGGAATCAAAGCCACAGCAAAACGCTGATCTGAGATTTTTGCAAGCGCTTCTATAAAACAAACAGACACGGCAATCCCATCAAAGCTCGGCAGGGCATGGGAACTCCTCTCCTGAGAACAGCTTGGAAGGAAACCCTTTTGGGCTCGGTGTCAAAATGCAAGTGCCCGAATTCTTCTTCCTGCTACTTCCCATTTATTTCCTTCAGCTGTAGCATGACTAAAATATCTGGATTTTCTAAAATTCAATGGGTAGGTACCCAGGCTCAGTTCAAGTGTAAAAGCACAGCAGGTTGTAAACACATCCAGCACAGGAGGACAGCACATGGGTACAGGTTAAGCATCTAGGAACCTGGATTGTATTCCCAGCCTCACCCATGAGCTAAGGAAACCTATATATT